TAGTTTGCACTTGTGCTCTTCTAAGCTCTGTATCAACCTCCTCAATAAGACTGTCATTGGGATCAATACCCATGAGGTAGTTGTGCAAAATACAATAGGCCAAAGCAATATCTGCTTGAGTGTCAACATCATAATGTGGCTCTGTCTCACTTCCTAAAATTGGAAACCTTTTCTTTAGGACACCAAAGGTTCTTTCAATTGCATTTCGCAAAGATGCATGACAAAGGTTGAAAAGCTCTCGAGAATTTTCTAGTTGATGAACACTATACTCCTTCAAATGGTAACGAGTACGTCTATATAGAGCAAGGAACCCAGATTTTAGTTAAAATCCTGCATTTACTAAGTAATATTTCCCTAGGACCAACAAGTAACTAAATGATGTTAGTTTGAAAGAAAACAAAAAAAAAAGATTTATATTCATCAGCATATATACACGTTTAGTGATCACCTTGAGAAACGATCAATTTATCCATTTCTCTTGTTAATGCATTATCTAATATTCTCGAGTCTGAAGCAGATCCTTCCCATCCTAGAAGGATATATGTAAACTTTAAATCAAAAGAACATGCAGCCAAAGCATTTTGAGTGGGATAGCATTTTCGTCCTTGGTATCTTTGTGCATCCTTGTTTGGCACTCTTACACGAAAATGTGTACCATCAATCGCACCAACACAATCCTGTAAAAATTCATTATTTGTATCCAAACATATAATATTATATACCCTAATTGCATTCATGTAACTACCTTAAAATAAGGCCAATACTTGGGATTGTGTCTAATCTTTGGAGGGCAGTTGAATCCATTAGGTTGTCTTAAAAAGATATCTTCCAATGATATAATGGCTTTAAGAACTTGATGAAAATGTCGACTAATAGTCTCACCTGATCGTCTGTAAAAGAACTTGATCGTACGGTTCCTCAAATTATTGCCAATTATATAATGGAATTTTGCAATTTGTTCTTCTACTTTACTTTGAGGATTGTCTCTAAGAAACTGAGTTCTTTTAAGCATGCTAACTAGTGTGGCAAACGCATCTTTGCTCATGCGTAACTGGCTACGACAATCTGCATCTTCCAAAGTCGTTAGTCGTTTAATTAGGACATATCTTTCATAATCTCCTTGTTCTGAAATTGACTTCCTTACATGATCACGACAATGAACAAACTGAGACAAGGCTGACAGCATACGAAGTATACATAGCTACACAAGTGGCTGCCCACTTTCTATACTTTTCCCACTTCTCTTGATCATGTATCTACAATTCTTTAATATAAAAAATCACATCCACTTGTTAATAATGTTCCAGAATTGAAATGATACATCAAAAAGTTCATAGCCTAGGCAACACTCAAAATGACAACCCATTTGGTTGGTTAACTTGAAGCATGTAAAAGTGAATAGGAGATAATAAGTTGATGCAAAAATATGAATTACTAGGCCTATTGTATCTTTTTTATATGGTGTTACATTTGAATTCTTCCTTGGTCAAATGGTAAACTATTTGGACGTTCTACTAGATATGGGCAGCAATAGGGAACTACTGGGAAATATATTATTTGATTATTTGATTATTTGAAATAGCATTTGTAGCAATTCATTTTTGCATTATATTTTTTGAGTGATCTGTTGTGATTAACACAGACTTTGATATTTGGTCCTTATTCGCTTGGCTCGGAGCACATGCGGCTGACTTATTATTAAAATCAGATAATAAAGAAAGTACAAAGTACGCTAAAGGGGACAAGAAGTCCATCAAAACATAAGAAAAGGAAGAGAAAAATTAATCACAACTATAAATAATAGACAATTTCCAATCTCTAGAAATAAAAAAACAAAGGCATTCTTTTAAAGGTATTGTTATTGAAACCCAAAAAAGAGACAAGTAAAAAATCTTCCCCCATAGGTCTGCAACTTATTCAAACTTATCATTAAAAATCTTGTATTTCTTTCCGTTCAAATAACCGAAAGCACAACACAGATCACACTATTCCATAGGACTAGGGGCTTCTTAGTAGAACCAAAACCTCTATAGTCAACAACGAGCGTTTAGGTACATAAAGCCAGAAATACCCAATACACAGAAATATATTACATTTTTGACCAAAATACTAAATTAAAGCTATCCAGAGTGATCCAAACAGTTTTTCTATTTTCCTAATGAAGAAAAGCATTGACTAAAATATATTAATGCTAAAAACAATGGAATTTTTGCGGGAGAAGATTGAACTATTATAGGATGCACTTAGAAATGTTTTACATGATTAATTTGATCATAAGAAATCTGTACTCATATTACCCAAAACTAATTTAATCCAATGCGATAGACCATCCAAAAGCTCATGTTTCAAATAAACATTCAATCAAACATTTCATGAGAATAAAAGGGTTAATTTATAAAGTTTGACATCATGAAAAAACACAAAACAAAAGAAAGTGAAATAAACCAAATAGGCACACATCTACAGACTACAACAAGAAAATTGTCATAACAAACAAACATATAAACAGATAATATAAAACAAACAGAAAATGTAAATCCAATTTAATCCCATGCAAAGTGAAAAGAAGATATTAAATCATCAAACTACTTAGAAAACAAATAGGATTTCTGCAATTTCACTTCAAAGCAGAAATTGCAAAGCAACTTGAACATGGATAAACAAATCCATGTATCTATAATCTCTGATTCATAATAAAACATATATAGGTATGTGTGTGTGTATGGAATTTTCAATATAGATCTAAGTTTGATAAGAGGAGAAAAGAAAATGAAAGAAGGGCACAAATACCTTATTGAAATTTTCGGACAATGAATTATCAATCAAGTTCAGTGATTGAAGATTACCAATTGAAGCAGATGATGATCCCCGATTGGAGCGATTTCCTGAATGATGCTGCGAATCAGAGATTACTACCAGAGTTAGATCTGCAATTTCACTTCGAAGCAAAATTGTAAAACAGCTTGAACATAAATAAACAAATATGTGGAAATCAATGGGGATCTGAGTTTGATGAGAAGGTAAGAGAAAATGAAAGAGGAGCACAAATACCTGATCGAAAATTTCAGGCAATGAATCTTCAATCGAGTTCATTGATTGAAGGTTACCAATTGAAGCAAATGATGATCCTTGATTAGAAGGGTTTGTTGAATGATGCTGTGAATCAGAGTTTGGTACCGGAGTTAGATCTTTAAAACTCGTCGTCGGTGGTTTTTTGAAGCTACTCATGAATGGTCTCCTGCGAGAAGCCATGAACAATGAAACTCTCTTTCCCCAATAAATTTTTCCTCTCAGTTTTCCTGGAATTTTCTTATAGATATAAAAAAGAATTGATATTCTAAAAGGTTCTCCTATTTCTTAATTTATTTCTCATCCCCTTTCTTTTCCCATATATTTTTTTATTATAACTAAACAAAAATGGGATTACATTTCTCTTTCCTTTTTAAATTCCTTTCAAAATCTCCTAACCAAATACAAATTTGATAAAAAAATTAATAGATTAATTAGGTTTGTAGCATTTTTCATAATTTTTTTTGGGAAATTTGGTGATAGCCCCCTCACTATCTATTTTGTCTTTTAAAAGGACAATAATTATATAAGTACTTTCAAAACCCCCTAATATTTTAAAACTTGTTTCTTTTACTATATTATCCTCATATCTATCAGCTCTCCTATTAAGCTATATTTACTGTATATTTCAGAGTAAAATTTTACTCTGAATAAGAGTAAAATGTTACACTCTGAAACTAAAAGTAAAATTTTACTCTGTATAAAAGTAAATTTTTACTCTGATAAACTAGTAAAATGTTAGACTCTGCACAAAAGTAAAATTTTACTCTATATAAAAGTAAAATTTTACTATGAAAAACGAGTAAACTGTGAGACTCTGAAGCTAAAAGTAAAATTTTACTCTGTATAAAAGTAAAATTTTACTCTGAAAAACGAGTAAACTATGAGACTCTGAAACTAAAATTAAAATGTTACTCTGCACAAAAGTAAAAAAGCGAAGGCAATGTTTGTGGCGGCTGAAGTGTTTGGCAATGACCACCTCTTGATAGTAAAATTTTACTGTCATTCTAACACCAGAGTAAAATGACAGTAAAATTTTACTCTCATTATCTGAAACAAAAAACAGAGCAATAGAACCAGAGTAAAATTTTACTCTGGTTCTGTCAAATGAAATTAGATCAAAAACAACAAAAATAAATCAAAAAAAAAAAAAAAAAACAAAAACAAAACAAATTAATCAACAAATCAACATATCTAATTGAGAAGAAAAACTTCTAAAACTCGATTAACAATCACAAATCTCAATGACAAGAATACATGTGTTCAACAACACTCATACACACAAATATATATATATACACATATATTAAAAACTAAGCGATTAATTCATTGCTCTTCGGAGTAACAACGATCAATTCAGAGACGATTTGTTTCTTCTCGTAGACGATCTCCTTCGATTTCGGCACCAGAGGACAATTTTTCGGCCCATAGTTGATTTCGTTCCCGATGTTCTTGATGAGTTCATCGTAGAGATCGGTTTCGGCATTGTTGATCGCCAAAGTTTCGCCTGATAACTGACCGGACTTGGCTAGAAGAGTGATGACAATGACGTTGGCGGCGTTGGCGAGGTCTGAAACTTTCAGATCTGAAGCTTGAAGGAGTTAGAGAAGGGAGAGAGGGAGGAGAAAGACAGAGAAGGTGGGGAGAGAGTGGGTGGAGAATGTGGAAAAATTTAATTATGGGATAGTCTAATAAAATATTTAAATAATAAATTTTATCATTTATGTAAGATTTTATAATTATGAGAGGATTTAGAAAGTATAATTTTTTTCTTAATCCTTTTAACAGTTTAACAATGAAAGGAAAGTAAAGGGAGTTTATAGTTAAATTTCTAATTTTTTTTTGGTGATGGGACCAACAGGTGGCGCGTCCTGACGTGACTTGACGTGACAAGTTGTTTCAACCCCAACAAGACGTCGCCGTTTCCCGTGACTGAATAGAGGTCAAACCCTGTTTTTCTCTCCGTTATCTTCTTCTCGTTATTCTGAGAGAAACCACGACAACGACGGCCAAGGTCCGTCTCTCTCCGCCGCCCTCTCTCTCTCCCCCAAACTCCTCGACTTGTTCTATTCCCTTCAAGCCCCAAAACCAGCCGATAATAGGGTTTTGAATCACCTATCATCGCTCGCAGAGAGAGAGAGGGAGAGAGAGAGAGAGAGAGAAAAGTGGGGTTGATTGAAGAAATGCGAGTGTTGGGGAACAAGAGTGATGTTACTTCGGCGTTTCAGATGGATCATTGCATTCAATCCCCATAGAATCTCTTCTGCTTCTTCTTCATCTACCGATTCCCCTGAAAATTTGCTTAATGATGTGAATCATCTTCCTCCCTTGCCTCCCCGACCACCACCGCCGCCGCCTCCGCCACCTCCTCCGCCGCGGCGATACCTTCCTAAAGCCGCCAACCAGCCAATGCTCGATGCCGTTCATGAGGTCGCCATCTACATTCATCGCTTCCACAATCTCGACCTCTTCCAACAAGGGTGTGTACTTTCTCGTTTTTCTTCGTCTTGCTACTTGTATTTCGTGATCTCTTCTTTTACTTGTTCCTGTGAATTGATAATTTTTTTATTTTTTATTTTATTTTCATGTGTAGATGGTATCAGATTAAGATTACGATGAGATCGGAGGACAATAACAACGCTTCTATCGCTACTCCGGCTAGAGTCGTTCAATATCAAGGTATATATGTATGTATACACAATCAATGTAAACATATAATTGTACTAGTTGATTGTGGTTTCATATAATTTTATTCATAGAAACGTTGATTTTTTTTAATGTGTATGACTATATAAATTTGAATATGTTCAATTAGTCAATTAAGTATTTGGCTGTTTTAATTCATTTAAATAGATTTCAATTTACGTTTCCAAACATTTCTATGTAATTTTCAATTTCTTTTTTGTTGTTTTGAAATGTTTCCATTTCCGTGCTTATTGCAACAACCGATTGAAATGAAAGTATTTGCAATTGTTTGCCAATGGTAAGTTATCTATAAAATATACAACGTTCCAAACAAATCGTTAGATGTGGTAAATTGAATTTTTTAATGAATAATGGGGGTGAAGAGAGAGAGAGAGAGAGAACTCTGTGTTATACAGTAATGTCTTTCATTTTGGGACCCATGATTTATGAAAAAGCTGAATAGGTGTTGAAATTGTAAAAGGGTAAACATTTCAAATGGATTTATCGCAACACAATATTTATAAGTTTTTGGCTAATGCAATATTTAGATATGAACTTGTTTATCGGATTAGTTATGAATTGCTGGTTGCGTTTGTCAACAAAATAGGGTGATGGGAGTGTGTAATGTCATGATAGACTGATGAATATGTTGCAATATTCGTGATGTCTCTATACACTTTTTTATGTAAAATTTGTAAAATTAAATTATTATCATTTAGCCTTCAATATTCAATTTATGTAATCTGTATATTATGAATTCATGATATTTTCCAATATTTTGTACTGTATATACGGGCCTATGTTACCAGAAAACAATAATACCTTAGCAAATTACGTATTGGTACGCACGTTCCGAAACATGGTACACGAATAAATTTAGTGATCCGAAATAATCTCAAAAGTTTTTTTCAATATATTTCCTTAAATATTGCATGAGGAGACAAAAATAAAATACATAAACTAAAATCTAAGGTGAGTTAAGTTTTGACAAGTCAAAAACATCAAAAATGGTTAATTATTTTTATAGAAATGATTTGCTATATGAAAAAAAAATATATATATATATTAGAAGAGTACCTTAAATTCTTAAGTGTAATATATATAAGTCTACTCTTATCATATCACATTTTAGAGCATGTGGCGTACCATGTTGCGGACCACGTTCCATGTATAGGAACGATCCATGTTCTAGGTAACATAGATATGGGCTCTATTGAACTTGCATAGTTTTTAGGGGAATACTCTCTTGCTCTTGTTCTCACCAATGCTTCCTCACTCTCGTCGTTGCTCCCTCTTTGGTTCTATGTTTTAACTACTTAGGTAGTATTTGATTCACTGGAATGGAATAGAATGAAATGGTCATTCCATCAAAATATTCATTCTTAAATTTGGTTGACTAGAAAAAATAGTGAAAAATGCATTGCAAATGGAATCGTCATTCACCATTGTAAGAGAATGATCATTCCATAGGTGAGTTTAAGGAATAATCATTCCATTCCAACTCATTCCTATGAACCAAATGGAGCATTAAGTTTGGAAAGGACATATTTTTTTATTTATTTAATCATTTGTCTTGATATTTTAACATTTTGCATTTTGCCTTGGTTCAGCTATACAAGTCTTCTTTTTTATTTTATTCACTTATTATCTTTTCAACTTTATATATTTTAGTCCATCAGGGGGCAAGTCTTTGATCGATGTTTCTTTCTTCTAGATGAGCTAATATCTAAGGTAATCTTTCTTTGAGCTGCAGCCCCTGATTTGGGTTCTGATGATGTATATGGAGTGTGGAGGATTGATGATGTGGATCACAGTTTCTCAACACCGCCTTTCCGGATCAAATATGCGAGGCAGGATGTCCTTCTATCTGTCATGATCTCATTCAACCTATCTATTGCTAAATATGAGGTATTGATCACTTTTGCATGCGCGCTTGTGTGCATAAAAGATGAATTGTATTTAAAAGAGAGTAAAATATACCAGAAACAGTGGAGATCTCTTTCAAGAGCAAGGTAGCAAGGTGATGTTATTAATCTCTTGGTAGGGCACCCAAGCCCCTACTACTAGCCCATATGGTGGCATTACTATCATTCCCTTCCACTTTTGTATGGGATCATCAGTTCCTTACTGACATCAGTTTTCTAGAGAATAACTGTGTCTATATATTTCTACTCTGTTTGAATGCTCATACTTTCCTTCAAATTTTCTGTTCATTTTATTTATTTATTTGTGATTTATGATATCTGGCAACTGATATAGCATTAAATTACCAGGGTTTATCCACTTCTGCTGTCCTTTTGAAATTTGAGCTTATGTATACGCCTGTATTGGACAGTGGGTTAGTTATTTTCTTGTTGCTATTTTCTTTCTTAAATATGTTACATGAAATATTTTTTTTCTTTTTATTCATGCTTTGTAACATGCAAAGTGGAGTCAATATCCATTCTAAACCCCAATTGCTGTTTTAATGCAATGTCTTCAGGCCTGGTTTGCAGGATTCTCTGGATTTATGCTCTACTGCAGTCCATGAATTTCGAATTCCTCCTAAAGCACTTTTTGGTCTGCATTCTTATTGCCCTGTCCATTTTGATGCTTTCCATTCCGTGCTTGTTGATATCACTGTACACATCAGCCTATTGAAGGGTGGTATTCACACCCTACCGAAGGTACCCAGGTTTGTTGCAGATTCCAGTTTCTTAAATTGGTCAAGGTCACAGTTCTCTAATTTAAAATCTCTGCTATTTAATGCTATTAGTTTGTTTGCTTTAGCTAATTATGCGCTGTAAATTTGTCTAAGTAACCTGCTTACCTGAATTCTTTTCAGTGACTCTTCTGATGTTGAAGAGGTTGAAGATTTTACCGGTGAAATTTTTGACAAGTCAAAGCAAGTATGTGCTTTATGTTGAATGCTATGTAATGATTCTTTTACCTGTCCTTCATCGTCAATCTTTTTCATCTTGCGTATCTGTGTTTTCTACTTATCAAGATATATGTGTGTGTGTGTGTTTGTTTTCTGTACACGTCTGAACTTGGGCTGTCTGTGGCACATCTGCTTCATCATTGCCATATGTATGACACAAGCTTATGGCATTATTATTATTATTATTAGGAAGTGTGAAATTTCAAATTCATGGAAGTTGAAGACTCACTTGCAAAATCTAGTGCATGAACCAATTGTACTTTCATGAGTTTGAAATTATTTTCCCAACTTCCAATTTTTTTGATATTCCCCCTATATTTGGCTGAATCTGTTTATCAGAAGGAGGCTGATTTCATCATTTTATATCTAGTTACCTTGTGGAGAACATTGCTCATGAGCTTTTTTTACCTCTGCAGTTAATTTTAATCAAGACTAGCCTTTTGCTCTATCTTTACCTGTGTTGAAGTAATATCTTCATAAATAGTTGTGATAACTAATTTTACAAATGTACAATTTAGTTGATGTTGTGTGCATTCCTTGTGCTATAAAATCCATATTGTTTTGGAACCTTAGAATGTGAAACATGTCTTCATAAATAGTTGGTTAACTGGGATGACTAATTTTACATTTATACATTTCATTTTAGTTGATGTTGTGTTTGTTTCTTGTGATATAAATTATTTTTTTGGAAGCACTCAAAGAATCCTCTTGAAAGTGGGAGATATACTAAAACCCCAAAAGAGTTCCAAGTAACAATTTTTTTCCCATAAGTTCTCTCTGTCTTCAGTATTTTCCTAAATTTTTTTTGTATTCCTTTCCAACCCAATAACCTAAAGCACAACACAAATATGGTATCCAATTCAACTCTATTAACTGAAACAATTTCCACCATAAAGCCAAAAGCCATGGGACAAAGCAAAGCAAATGATCACAACCCTCGTCATCCTCCTACACATACACACCACTGTAGAAGTAAACAACAATTTTCTAACCTAAAACATGTCCATGATATTGAGTTTCTTGTGAGCCAGTCCATTGAAAATACTTTTTATGTGGCATCATTCCAAATCAACTCATGAGGGTCAAAGAATGGAACATTTGGATCATCAAAAATGGCACTATACCACAGTTACTAATGCCAAAAAATTATCATATTTGTGTGTGCTGTTTAAATGGAAGTCATAGAAAACATAATAAATATAGAATTAAAAATAGCTGAAAGTAATTAAATCTATGATGTGTTGTTCCTCTAGGAATTTTAAAGTCATATGATGCTATTGGTTTACTAAAAGTGATGTTAGAGTTGGAACTTTGATGGAATGACAGATAAAGAACTCTGGCAATAAGTAAATAGTCTTCCAAAAAATTGAATCTAATTTTTGATAATCTGGTATTGTGGTAAACCCCGACTAATCCCGAGACCCATTCAAAGTAGGTTGGGCAAATCTTGAGCTATGCCTGCGGGTGTGGCCCCAAAGGGATTGATAGCACTCAATGGGAGTCAAACCTTAGGCTTGATGCTTCATAAGGCACCAAGGGCCAAGTGACAGACCACCATGCCATATTGATCCTAATAGACCTCATTAAAAGAGAGAAGATTTGGTGGAACAAAATAATTTTTGTATTGCAAACTTTTATTATTTTGGAGGATAGATAAAATCATTTTGTATTAGACGAAAGAGAGGACCTATTTTTATCAAAAGTGACCTCAAGATGACAAAGTTAGTTGGTATTGTGCTACAGTTAACATGCGTTACTCTGGTTCTGGCTGAGGCAAGAAAAGTGATGATTAATGTAAAATAATTGTGACGTGTCTACTATACTATGTCGAGGAAATCTTATACTTTCTGTAAGATGAATTTTTGTGACTTTATTTAGCATTAAGTAGCTAATAACAGCTTAATAGCAGTTTTTTTGTTTTTTGTTTGTCTTTTAAATCTTTGAAAGTTTGTATTTTTTGAAAGTTACTTTGTTGGGCATGCGATTTACATATCAAAATTGGCTAGAAAGATACTTGGTGACTTTTATTTGTTGCATTTATTTATTTTTTTAATTGTCAGTTAAATTTGCGACAGATAGTTATTGGGTAAACTGCTTTGTATATTTTTCTCTAACCAGGCCATGCTTGTTAGAGCATTACTAACTGCCCGAGACATACTGCTGGAAGAGCTAGAAAAACTCGGCAAAGCAATTAATCAAACGATTGATTTTACTGATTTTACTTCCAAACTGGATGATTCAAGTTTGTTTGGGTTTTCTCTGCAAGGAGGTGTGGAGACTGCACGTGCTGAAGTTTCAGCAGAAGCACCCACCGCCCCACAAATGGGTTCTGAGGTCTTGATTTCATGCTGCAGATTACTCAATATATCTGTTCGTAATGTTGGTATCTTTTTGTGGCTTATCGTTTTTTTTTTCTTTTTTTTTTTTGGAACAGAAACCAAATGGTATGGTTGATTTTCGGAGCAATGAGTTTTTCAATTCCTTATCCCAGGATGAACTCTTGAACTCTTTCCATTCACTTGGGAGTCAATTATTGTATTTGTGGAACGTGTTTCTGAAATTCCACAGGTTTGTGTTAATTCAATGATTGTACATTTTTTTATTGGTATCTGAAGGATTATGTTAGCCAAACAACTTTTCTTCCTTCTTTTTATATTTTCTGAGCTAATATAAGGAGAAGACAACCTCAGTTAATAGAAGAGAGTAATTCCCTTTTCCTCTCCCTTTCTTGATAAATAGAAAAACCTACTTTCCTGGAATAGGGAACCTCAGCATGTGGCATATCTGCCAGGAGATAAAGAAAGTAACTCCATATAGAGTAGTATTCTCCCCAACCACAGCACGATGGATGTAAAAACGAAGAAAAATAAATCCTTTGAAATTCATCCTTCCAACCTGAAAAATATTAATTTTACAGAGTACTTTTTTCTGCCTCAGATCCTCTAGTCAATTAGTACCTCTAGAATCCACTTCTTTCTCATACTGTGATGCATTCGGCATTTTAGATTGATCCTAACCAGATATGATTATGAATAGGAACCTCTGCACCCTTAAAGGTCCTTCAATTTCTTTTGTCCATTGAGAACCCTCTCACACTCTCACACAGTGGGGAGCAGCCTTTGACACAAACTCTCTGCTAGCTAGGTTCCAGTTCTGAGAAGTTCTACTCTACGTTGTTTGTTTACTAAAACCGAGCATTAAACATTATTAAATGAATAAGACAAATCTTTAAGTTCTTACCTTTTAGAATTTAGGGGTGGAATTTTTGGGAATTACTGGATAAAAATTCTTTTTATTTTTCTTTGATTAATGTTGGATCTTGTAAATTTCTGCCATTGTTTTTTGTCATGTACATTTTCTTTCTTGTCTTTGTTTATTACTGTAATTGGATTTTAGGTGTTGTACTAATAATTATCTTTAGTTATATTATAAAAATAAAAGTCACGTCTTTCATTTTTTTATAGAATGGTAAACTAGATTATCAAGCTTCTTAAAATTCTGCTATTTATCTGTGTTTATATTTTTGTGGAAGAAGTTCGGATGCTGATGTTTTGCTTTGTTACAGGGCTAATGAAAGAAAGATTTTGGAGTTTCTGCGAGATGCATGGGCTCATGACAGGAGAGCTGAATGGTCAATTTGGATGGTATACTCTAAGGTGGAGATGCCTCACCACTATATAAGTAGTGAGGTTGATGACTCCTACTATGGTGTCCGTGGAAAACCATCAGTTCTGCGAAAGTTAACCAATGATGTAATAGAACATGTTTTATTAGAACTTGGCACAGATTTTCACTTATTTAAGCTCTAGGTTCAAATTTAATTGTCTGTTTGCCACCTCATCTTAAATTTAATGTTGAGAGGTGATTTTTACAGTGTAGTGATCTGAATTATTTGCTTGTTTCCTGTTTAGCCTGCACAGACTGCAGCAGTGCGAGCTGAACTTCATCGGCGCAGTATTGAGCTAATGAGGGTGAGTTAATGCTTTTGTATGAAGTGCCACAATATATGCTTCTCCACATATGTTGGAGTTAATCAGCAGGTATTTCTTCTATGCAGATCAACAACCGGTCTATGCAAGACATGCATATATTTGGTGATCCTTCACGCATTCCGATTATAATTGTAGAACGTGTTGTTAATGCACCGTTGCGTTCTACCAGTGGACATTCATACTTCAGTTATCTCAACCAGAAAAATACGTCTGGCTTGCTCACTGATATTAGCTCTAAGGCCAAAAACAAATCATCTGTTGCTAGCAATCACCAAAACGGTCGTGTTTTGAAGATTGTTGTCTTTGTACATGGTTTTCAGGCATGTTCTATTCTCCGCATCATGCCTTAAATTTATAGATTATGTTGCATGTTTTGTGCTGTTGTTGATTCTTTTCTTTTCAATGGCTTTCCCACCCTGGAATGTTTTCAAGAAAGAACCATTGAGATCCAAATTCTTTATCAAAAAGATCAGTTGGAAGCAAAGAAACCATCTGGTGCAATCACTTCCAACTGGTTGAAATATGCCAAAAAGAGATTGAGCTTGGTCTAAAACCGTGTAACTTACTTCATTCAAAACAAGAGAGGCTATGGGCCAATTATGATGGCCTGATTAAGTGTCAAGTATAACCATAACTGTTTGACTCACAGACTTTAAGCATTGAAGTAACAAAATGCAATTGAATACTAATCTTGGTTTATTGTCTAATGTTTACTTCTGATTTGGAGGTTGAGATTGAACTTCCTTCAAAGCCATATCTCGACTATTTTTCCTTGGTAAGCTAGAGAAGGCGGTTCAAATTGTTACCTAGCCTGGCGGATTTAATGATTCACTGGTTAGATTGGGTGGTTGATCTGATTTTGGTGACACTGCATATTTGTTTCTCACCTTGTCAGGAGAAGCATGCTATTTAGTGTTGTTGCTGATAATACTTGAATAGCAATAATTTTGAGATGATATAAAGGAAATCACTATTTCTACTGCTATTTGGCTGCTTCTGCTGGGTTTTCTGTTGGAAAATTTCCTAGGGCTGCACTGAATGGCCATGGAAGAAACCAATTTTTCGGAATTGGTCCTTATTGAATGTGTAGAATAAATCATTTAATCTGCAGCATAGTTTTAGTATTTTGGTAAATTAGTTTGAAGCTATAAAATTCAACTCAAGTTGACAATGACATTCTGAAACACCCCTTTCTTGAGTAATATCTTTGAAACACACTATTAGACTTTGACAATGAAGTTTGACTAGGTAACTGCTGTCCTTGTGGAGTGTTCTGGCTTATTCATTGTTCCCACCTGCCGGTCTTTTTTATGCACTATATATCAATTTCTATTTTGCGTTCTATTCTTTATTGGTTATTATACTTGTCTTACCATTCAAAACCAACTGGTGTTCCATTATACAAGTCCAATATTTGGAATGTGTTTGATCAGTATTATATTGACATCATTTGTGTCAGAAATTTGTTTGTGACATCTATTTCATGCATGTCTTGTATTACATAGGGACATCATCTGGATTTACGGCTTGTTCGGAATCAATGGCTTTTGCTAGATCCCAAAGTAGAGTTTCTTATGTCAGAGGCGAATGAGGACAAAACATCTGGAGACTTCAGAGAAATGGGACTAAGGCTGGCTCAAGAAGCAACTACTTTTATTAAGAAGAAAATGGATAAAGCCTCGAGATCTGGAAATTTAAAAAGTATCAAGCTTAGCTTTGTTGGCCATTCTATTGGAAATGTCATCATAAGAACTGCTTTAACAGGTGCGCAATTTTTTTAGCTTTAAAGATCGTGTTCTTGAATTTGTTGCTAATAGAGTGCTAAGTTTGTTCTTTTATTCTTGCAGAGGGCATCATGGAGCCATACCTAAGATACCTGTGTACATATCTTTCTATATCCGGTCCACATTTAGGTTATCTGTACAGTACAAACACGTTATTTAACTCTGGGCTGTGGCTCCTGAAGAAGCTCAAGGGCACACAGTGCATTCATCAGCTTACTTACACGGATGATTCAGATCTCCAAAATACTTTCCTGTACAAACTCTGCAAGGTACTAAGCAAACTTTATCATTCGTCACATCATGGTTAGAAGGGAAAAAGAGGAGGGAGTTGCATCAGAGACCGTTTCTCCCATATAATATCATGATCTTGTGTACTGAGTCTTGCTTGTCCACTTTGGAATATTTGATTTAGCCAAATTAGTGATGTAATATTCGCGTTTGTCAGATGTGTTTGAACATTTAAAACGAGGGAGTTGTTTCTGTGAGGAAAAATGTCTAGTGGCTGCTTGTCAATTTTAAACTGAAAACAACGTAATATGTACTCTTAAGGCTTCGTAAGCTTTACATTGGAAAAAACGAAGCCTAACTGAAATTTTATTTTTCAAAACCTGCCTCAGTTTCTTCTTTCACCTTGGCTGAAGTTCTGATGTAGTTTCTTTCCCTCTTTCAGCAAAAGACACTAGAGAACTTCAAGAATATAATTCTGTTATCTTCACCCCAGGTATTTCCTTCTGTTTTGCAGGTTTATTTTGTCAATACACTACTTTAAAATTTTTGAACTCAAAAAAATAAAAATAAATAGTGATATTCATGTAAATGGGTTGAGTAGCACTTATTGAAGATAAATTATTAGCTGGTTTTAGGATGAGAGAGAAGAAATGGTGATGGTTTGAACAACAAAATGAAATTAACCCTATAATAATTATAAAATGTAAATCACTAACCAAATTGCGGTGGGACTTACTTTCAGCCATTTTTTAAAAAAGATTTATGGAAAGATTCGTTTGCTTGAGTGATATATTGATTGCAATTCCTGTAGGTTGAACATTGATGGTCCAAGCAAGACCTGCTCATTTTATTCTTTTCTTATTAATACTTGTAATATATATATATATATATATATTGGCAGCCTAATGCCATTTACTACTTGTGTCATCTATCTCTCAGGATGGCTATGTTCCTTATCATTCTGCCAGAATCGAAATGTGCCAGGGCGCTGCAGGAGACAACTCGAAGAAGGGCAAAGTCTTCCTGGAGATGCTGAACTCTTGCTTGGACCAGATACGATCACCATCACGTGAGCATAGGCTGTTCATGCGATGTGATGTCAATTTCGATACATCAACCCAAGGCAGGAACTTAAATACCTTAATTGGACGCGCTGCTCATATTGAGTTCCTGGAGTCTGATGTTTTTGCAAGGTTTATCATGTGGTCTTTCCCGGATCTATTCGAATGATTGTTTGTGGATTACCGTCATTTGTAATTTCTGTGTCATTCCAGCTTCTTCTTCATCCTGCACATTCTGAACTGGTAGTCAGCTAATGATGCCCCTTGCCCAGAATAAAATTCTTTAACGAATTAAAGCATCTTAGACCGTGTTGGACAAAAAAGTCCCCTCTCTGGAACTTCTGATCCTTAATCTTCAGCAACAGACTTAATCAGTAAACCAAGAATTATCGCTGATGGTCTACTAGTAGTTTTACTGGTGCGTTTTTTCTCAAAAAGAAGCTGAATTCTTGACATTAGGGCAGACAATGCTGACTTGAAGCCCGACTCAAATTAGAAGGGAAGTTATTAAAATTCTTGGATGGAAGGGAATTTTAGAGATGTAATTATTTCTGTAGGTGAAGATGATTTGACTGGTTCTGATTCCTTGTTTGATAAATACTTTTGGAGTCGTGATGAATTTTATAATTCATACACGGGAGGAAGGTGTTGTGGGGGATTGGCAGAGACGGAGTGATTGTTTGGAAAATCAAAAGCATCACATGCTGGGGATCAGATCTTTATGCAACTATTGTGCAATGTAATAAAGTTCAGGTGTACCATCTCCGTTTTTCTTTTGCTTGTAAATTAAGCGAGGAATTTGATGTTGATTCTATGGAAGACATTGCGATAAAAATACATAATTTTTTTGTATTTTCAACACACAACTGAAATAAGGTCATGTTTGTTTGGACGGACTGGATTAGCATTCTCATGACTAATAATCTTAAGATTACGAATCCGTTAGATTATATATCCTATCTTAACTAATAATCAAGTTTAAAATAATTAATCTTTACTTCAATTGTTTAACCAAATATCGGATTAATAATTTTATTGGACTATTAGTCCAATTTTAAGTTCATGTCTACCCAAATAAACATGGCTTAAGTCTCTCAAACTCACCCAAAAGGAAAAAAAATAGTGACATCATAATTTTTATCTCACTCTAAATAAGGAGTGTTCGTGATTTGATATAGTATTAACATTTATTGAAAGGCACCCTAATTCAAAATCAATTTTTGTCTTGTTATTATTATTATTTTAGAAAATTTCAATCTTTTTCATCTTCTCATTCCAGAAAATGTCATGAATACAGATTTATTTATTTTAATTTTTGAAAAAAATTGAACTGCACCCTGTGAATGAAGATTAGACTGGTATTTAACAAAGAACAAAATAAAGATTTTTCATTCTAATTCTGCATTTATCTAACACATGGCCATAAACTCTTTGTTCAACAAACAAGTATACGAGCCAAATCTCCTGTCAAGGTTTTTGTATAGTTAAAATGATAATTCCCTTGGCAACCAACCCTACATCCATAGTCCAATAAAACCTCCGAACTTGTATAAATATACAAAACATTTGTGTATATATATAATAAACAAACTCCCAATGGCACCAATACATCTACAATTGCTTGTAGAAGAGAATATAGGCTTGTTCATGCAACACCTTGCTTGTGGGAATTACGGTTACAGAAGCATCGTCGAAGTGCAGCCACTTGCCATTTGGGTGGCATGTATCAGCAGTATAATGCCCCTTCCAGGGCTCCCTCCCATGATGAGTAATTGTTGCAACAAGTTCGTATCTTCGACCCTGTACCCAGCATAATCGAATTTAGAATCTAAACCCTAAATTTCGTTGTTTGACAACCAAAAGAATTAAATCGAGCATTTTGAGTGCATGCAAAGGTCCAAATCTTCAGAAAACTTCTAAACTAACGTGTAGACACTGCTCATAGAACAGGAAAAAAAATGCCTAGAGTACATTTGACAAATTGAATACAAGTGTTACACCTTTTACTTCTGACAGTCAATGGCCTGGTCTAATGAATTCAAACCTTTGGTAATTTATTTGAAGGAAGCGAAACCCATTCTGAAAGTGTTCAGTGGCATCAAACTTCGGTAATAAGAGTAATTTAAATAATTCAATAGCAGTTGAGAAAATATTTCCCCAAATGCAATTCAAAAGGGTATCAGAGTCATATCAAAATAAGAAAACTACAGGCACAGAATAATCTTATCATGGTAATTGTCAGCTATGATTGATTAGTGTAACGGAGCAGTAACAGAAATTAAGAATACTTCACCTCAGACGAAGGTGAAAACAGTAATTCACGTCCAAGAACTAGCTCCAGAGGAAAACAGACAGGTTTATGCAATTTGGTGCATCCTTCTCCTCCGTAGTTAAAACGCATCAAATGCAATATCATTATCTCAGAAAGCTCCAGTATCTTAACAGTCTTGCTAGCATTCACCACCTCAGCCTGAGATTTGAAACGGGATTTTTTATATATATACAAGTAAATAAATAAATAAACTAAGGGCACCACTCAAGTACACAAGTAGAATAAATTTACAAAAAGAAAGAACACAAAAATCTACATTGGTGTTCAAACTAAAAACAACAAAAAGCAGCCTAACCAAGACTCTAAGAAAAAACAGTGGGCAACCCAAAACAACCCCTACTCAAGTCCCTCCACACGGCATCCAAGAAAATTGCAAAGACCTTTAAATCTCTCCATTACACACCTTGACACTTTAACCCATCTCAGGTCCTCCATTAGCAACTCACAAGCCCTAGTTTTCTTCCAAAATTCTCTTGCACTAATTGTAAACCATCCATAATCTAGTTCACAGTGAAGCTTACTCTACTTTTTTGAAGTGCATATATAATGTAAATACAAGGATATGCATACATGAAATTTAGACATTGTTTGACTGGACCAGGATCAATATCAAACAGTAAGAATAAAACTCCGAACCTTTGCCGCTGATGTTCGATAGCCTTCAAGAGTCTCTGGTGCAGAAAACAGATGGAGTGCATCTTCTATACTACAGACACGTTCCGGACAGATATTAAGGTGGAGCAAAAGAAATGGTTGAATAGTAGCAGAGGCTTTAATACCTGCTTGTATCAAAAGAAAGGAGGCCATTAATTGTACAAAGTTACGCCACTTTTGGCGCCTTCTACAGACTAATTTTACTTGTCAAAAGAAAGGTAATTATAAGCAACTGCAGCAAACAAAAAGCGATGCAAAAGACTATGATCTCATTAAACTAATTCATGCAGACTCAAACAATTATAGAGTAGGCTACAAAAGCATAAGCACATGGTCAGAAATTCCTACTTTAGCCTAGTCTAAGGAAAGCGGAAGGGGATGCTGGGGATTGAACCCAACCACATGAGCTGGAGCATCAAGGCCCTCCTATCCACTGGGCCAAGCCACATTCTCCCATTTTTTGTTCTTTTTTATATTTTTCCACTTCATCTTCGTGTGAAAGGATCCCTCAATTACTCTTGCGCTGACCATATCTAACTATTAGCTGATCTATTTTTCCAATAAAGTCATATGACATACTATAATCCACTTCAACTAGGCTAACTAAAAAAAAAAAATTAAAAAGCACTTTTCTTGAGATAACCTGATAGTTCAAGAAAAAGAAAAAAGAGTTAGCATTTTTAGCAACAGAATCAGGATAAAGAAATGTAACATGGAGAACAGGTAAGATATTTTTATCAGAGACAGATAATTCCAATGTAAATTTTCCAGTAAAATAAATTATGTAAAATCATAAAAATATAGAACTAAATGAGTGACAAGTAAAGGAATAAGAAATATGACATGTTGTACCAAGAGGCAAGATAAAGCTTAATGATAGTGCATAGATGCATAGGCTGCGAAGCTGGCCTACCTTTTGCCTTCACAACACTTCTCAATTGACCTCCAAAAATAGAACTTAATTTTGACGGAATGAAGCTCTGAGTTCTTGTAATTGCTGTTCTGTTCTTTGGGCCAACAGTCTCCCACTCATCACTATCATCCTCATCATTAATTGATGAAACCAAAGAGGCACTTCCCCCATTACTGCTTGGGACTTGACCTTCAAGTTTAAGCAATTCATCATGCATCTGATGCATGACAAAACTTAGGAACTCCTGAGCATCTTCTTGCCTGATAAATATACAAATTTTCAGCAACTAAACACCTTAGTACTCACGAATCACGATACAAATACAAAAATCTAACAGCATGGCCGTATAATTATCACTCACAAATAAATTCTAATTGAGTCAAACAGTTCAATACTTCTTATCTTTCAAGTTCTTGCAAGAGAACAGCAAAGATGAAATTAAAGTAGCCAAAACTGATATTCTACTACTTAGGATTGTTTTGGTATGTTTCACTATGCTATGATGTGTTTCACAATGTTCCAGTGTGTTTTCATTTCGGTATCCTAGGAATTAAAAATGTTTCAGCAGTTTTAATAGAAACAAAGGAAAAATTTTGTTCCTTAAGCAATGAGTACAACTACTGAAAAATGGAATGGACGTTAAAGGGTATAGATGAAACAACAAACCTATGCCTGCCAGATATGCTGTTTGGCACTTCTGGAGTGAACTTTTGTAGAATGGATTCAAACATGACAGGGCGGAAAGGCCTCCCAGTTTCCAGAAGCATCTCTTTTTTCTTTGAGCTTGACTCTATGGGAGTGTCGAAGTCAGAGACAAACTCAATAAATGCATGCAATGTTGGATAGCCGATCTAAAAATTGCAAAAGAAATCCCAAGTCCATAAGCAGAAATTAGATGCTCATATTAAAGATTTTTGCAAACAAAACAATTAAGTCTACAGTTTACCTTTTGTATATCACGATTTCTTAATTCCTGTAAGAGTAGAACAAAAGGAGGACAAGAGAGAAGAGCCTGCAGAGTTGCATTGAGAAAGCATAAATTCCCCAAGTTGACCAAACCTCGAGGTAGTAAATTTCTAACAGTTGCACCAAGCCCATTTGATGCCTTTGGAATACTTTCTTCTGAATTTATAAGGTCCACACCTACTGATGAGTCAACCAAGGCTTCATTTGTTAAGAGAGTAGATGATTTAGTCACTCCTTTAGTGACATAATGTTCTGTAGAATTTTGCTTTAAAAGATCAGAAACATTTTCAGAGGCACTTGACACAGATAATTCAACATTATCAGTTTTCAGTTCTTCTATACAATCACTACAGCTAACAAGACATGTGTCATTGATGCTTCCATTTTTCTCAACAGTTGTGGCTATTACTTGAGAAATACTTTCTGTTGTACAAACTTTCACAGCATTTTCTTTATTGACCAACTTTGATGGCCATCTTTTGGAATACTCAGCTTCTGTCAGTTTACTGTTGAAAATGCCCACAGATCTTAAAGTTTCAGCATCCAAAGAACCAAATTTAATTTCTATATCAATCTCTGGTGGCTGCCTCTGGAAGGACTTGATTTCATCTTCGGTGAATGAACCAAATACCAACACCTGCAAGTGATGAAAAATCAACAAAACCACAAAAATAGCATGCAACAAAGGCCTACATAATGCGACTTTCTAACATGCATAAACAAAACAGTAAAAGACTCAATTGGAAAGCCAGTCCATTATCAAGACATGACAGAAACTAATCTCATTGTGTGAGAAAGAAATTTGATATGAGGTAGTCAAAGGGGTTAACAGACAGTGGTAAATGAATCCTCTCAAAAGTGTACTCTAGGCAATGCCTACATGACACCCGAAGGGAACAAAAAGAGGGTCTTGCATTAATACCATCCTAAAAACTCCATATCACATGAGAGAGAATAATTTGGAACACCAATAGAATTAGAGAAGGACTATGCTGAACTCTGGTTAGACAGTTAAAACAAATGAGACATACAAAGGAAATTCTAAATGTAGATGGGCTAACATGTTCATTCCTGTACTATGCTAATTGACCTCCCAAAGGACAGCCTAAATCTTGTTGCATAGGCGCCCCATCTTCTGTTAACTTCCAAGAGCATTTGAGGGCTTGTAAAGCAAGACAATGGACCAAAGTGACCACCTACCTTTATGCCTTTGCAGGTGTAAGGTTCTCCAACCAGCATCCCATAAAATCCTAGCAATATCCCTCTATGGAAACAAAAATAGACAATATATATATATATAAACATCAACAATAATGTAAATTCCCCCCCCCCAAAAACAACCCAACTTGCTTAGCACCAAAACAGAGCCCTATTTATAACAAGAAGTCAATATTCAAATTAGGCTCCAACCACATCTAAATAAACCACAGGCGAAAAACTACAATAATCTAAACAAGAAAACCACAAAAAACAACAATATCGTTACATATTGAAACAATGAATTGGTGACAAATGGTGTCCACAATTTGGTACCCAAATTTGATCGCCATAGTGTAATTGAAAAAAACAAAGACCCTGATACTCTTTTATGTTACTGAGAAAATGCAGAATAATGAAAAAAAAAAAAAAAAGAGCTTAAGATAGTTTTGATTAACAATCATCATTCCATCAATACATGGAAAGTAACGAATCATATTTAATATGGAGGTTAAAAACCCTTCAAAACCAAACATTATCAATCTTTTTTCTTTTTCTTTTTTCACTGAAGAAGAACTGTATTTGTAAAAAGCAAAAAAGAAAATATCATTTTTCTTTTCTTTTTCTTAGCTTATGTTTGGGTGGAGGATTGGGGAAGGAATTTGAAAAGGAAAAAGGTCCCTTTCCAAATTCCTTCCCAAATCTCCAATCAAACACAGCATAAATGACAGATTCCAAACTTCCTTTCCTTTTGTTTTTCTTTTCTCCCAAATTTTCTCAGCGATCAAACAGAAACCTAACTTCACCAATATATATCAGAAGGAAAAAAAAAAAAAAAAGAGAGAGAGAGAAGAAAAGATCCGAACCTTTTGATCAGTCATCTTTAGCAGAGAATCGGAGAGAAGAGCACGAAAGCATCAAAGGAAAGCTTGGGAAGAAGTGGCCATGAGAGAAGAAACAAAGCCGTATTGGGGAGGGACTGGAAGCTAGGGTTTGGAGCCCAGAACTAGATAGAGTAAGAGAGGACGAAGTGACGGCGGAAGACATGAAAATGTAGAGAGAGAGAGAGGATGAGGGTTTTAGAGAGAGAGGGTTGCTGATTTGGAGGTGGGGGGATTTGTCTCCCTCAAAGGTTGAATGTGCAAAAAAGGAAGCTAATGTGGGTGGGTATAATGAGCAAACAGAGATGATTCAGAGATTCAAAAAAGCCTCAGAGAAATAGATGAAAATAATTGGTCCAAAAAGTCTCAGAGATATAGACGAAAATAATTGGGGAGGCCTATTTTGGGTAATTGGTTTGCAAAATGGTTTCTCTCACTTTACTTTTCTTTTCACCCATTTAAGCATTCTTAGAGCATCCCTAACGCGCTTGGCATATAATGTTTGTTAAGTAAAATGTCTAGTATGATTTATTTTTTTTAATTACAATATATTAGGTATGTGATTAGGTATTTTAACTTAACGCACATTCACTAACTACATGTAGCTAGCCTTTAAGACTAGGTAAAATGTATTTAATCATTAGGATTATTTCCCTCCATCTTTGTTGCTGATGTGGCATTTTATAAAATTAATAGTATTTGGACGAATAGCTAAAATAAAGAGCATGGTTGGAGCAGAAACATGAAACAGTTGATAGGCAAAATAAAATGTATACTTTATAGTAATGTTTAGATAGGTAAAATGCCTATTACCGTTGGAGATGCTCTTATTTCTTATTTTTCTTTTAGTACTTACCTTAGCCCTCTGTTTGAGAAGATGCTTTTTTTTTTTTGACTAAAATAGTTATAATAGACAAAATAGATTATTTTAATCATAACAAACAAAATATCACATCCAATCTATAATCATTATACTCTTCTCTAAAAAAAAAGTCAAAAAAGTCAAAAAATCAAAAAGTCCTTCTCAAACTAAGCTTTTTAGCTCAGGCTAAAATAGTCAAAAAATCAAAAAGCCAACCCACTTCCCAAACCAACCCTTAGTTTAAATTATATTCTCATCTTTCTCACTTTTGAACTACTAACCCTAGCTAGCTTGTTGCCACCCCCATGGCCTCTTGCAACCCCCTTCCACCCTCCCTTGCCAACATCCACTCTCATTTCTTTATTATTCTCACATCAGGATCTCTCTCTTTTCCTTAAGTGATCTCTCTTTATGTGCTTTTGGTTATAAAGGTGAAGAAGCAAGATTGTACGAGGAAGAAATAATTCTCCTCGTATAATCCTGTTGACCAAGTCCACGCTCCTCCGTACGACGTCGCTTTGTCACCTGAAAATACAAATGTGAGCTAGCCGACGAGTGTGTGTCGGAAACCTCTCCGATGCCTAAGTCAGTAAACTTGACAAATAGACAAAGCTCTATGTTTTCAGAAAGCAAAATTGTGTGTTGTGTTCTGTTACCTCCTCCAAGGTGATGTTTGTGAGCTTTTATAGGTTTCGAGTGGCACAATCCTAGTAGGACTTATACTCCTCCATGCAAAGTCCTCCTAGGATTCATACTCCTAAGGATAATGCTTATCCTTTTACACCCCTCCCACTGCTTTAACCAAGTGGGATGATTTTCATCATGGCCGAACTGCCATACGACCGAGATAAGCCTGGCTATACTAAGCCACAGAGTAGGCCGTACTAACAGTAGTTCGGTTCTTCTTGCTACGCCATATCTCGGTTCTCTCATACACGAACCATGGTGTGTTTGGACCGTTCTACTGAGTAGCAACATTCCGACCGATCTACCCGGAATACCTTATGACCGGACTATCTCTGAGACCGGCCTAACTAGAAAGGCTGCACGGACCAAAGTAACTCAACATCTCTCCTGGGCCGGAGCAACTTTATCACTCTGACCGGAGTAACTTTCATATTTCCATTGGGCCTTTTTATCTAGTCCTTCGTACTTTAGGCCATAAAGTCCATTTCGCAGCTCGGCCCAACTTTTACAAAAAATTACCCTCTCAATTGCCCCTTAATTCCATCTGCATAGCATGATTGGGATTACCAGTCTATCGGCCGAGCTGGAGTTTCTTAAGCCTTTCCAGCCGAGCTAAAAAGAACAGTTTAGCCTCTCCAGCCGAGCTAAAAAAAACTCTTAAGCTCTTAAGTCGTGCTAAAAACTTGTCAAACCTTTCAGCCGAGCTACTTTTACTCCGGGCTCTGTTTGTCCGGTCAAAACGTCTCTTCAATCACAGCGACTGTAACGCTTCCCTTTCCAATGACACGTGGCAGATTCTGATAGGCTGAGGACGGCTGTCACGTACTACAAAATTTTTGAACAGTCCCGCCCTTTTTGCCTTTTCGTCCTTTACACAAAACAACCCCTCCATCTTTGAATCATTCACCTTCCATTCTTCATCTTCTCTCTCTGTGCTCTTGCTGTTCTTCCGTTGCTTCTGAAGACTGATTTTGCTGCCACTTTCCCATCTCCAGTTCCCTCTTCTTCAACCTGGTAAGTAAACTCATTTTGCTTCCTTTGTTTTGCTTTCGTATCTGTTCTATGTATTTTGTTTACTGTATTTTTTGCAAAACATTTTCTTCCATTTCTGCTTCACTTCTGTACTTTCATGGAAAAACAATAGCAGAACTCATGCGTGTATGAACTTCTGTAGAAAACTAGACTTAGATCCAAAATCATGTAGCAACCGAACCAGGATACCGTTTGTCCTATATAGGTAGATCACTTTAAACAATAACCGAACTAGAACTTATAACAAAAGTTTCACTGAGTCACCAACTCCTGATTCACTGTAGCCGAAATAAAATTACCGAACGAGGTTTGAACACATTAGGAACTTCGATCTTCAACTGAGCTAAGCCTTTGGGGCTAAGCCAGCTTTCTTTGTTTCCGAACCAAAGCTCAAAAAGCTACCCCTAGAGGCTCAACCGAAGTAACAAAGCTCATACTTCAACTGATTTAGGCATTTTTGGGGGCTAAACCAGCTTTCTTAGTTTTTCTAGACCGAACTAAGTAAGCTGCCCCTAGACGATGAACCGGTCTAATAACCAACCTGCTTAAACCGAGCTACCAAACCTTTTGACGAACTGAGGCAGAACCGGTTTTTAAGGCCGAAGTAGGGCTCTTGTACCTTGCTTTTAATTTGTAGCACGGTCCAATGATCTGTGCTTAACCCCTTTGTTTTCTACTTTGCAGACTTAGGCTGCCCAGGCACTCCCGCGTGCGCTCAACCGAGCTACTGAACACAACTTTTGCACCGATCTAACTTATCCTTAATTTATACCAGAAATGGGTAAGTATAGGTATCTAGTAGATACTCCGGGCGGTTTAGCCGAATTCAGGAAGGACTATAACATACCTGATGATGTCCACTTGACCTTAGCCAAAAAAGATGTCATCTCATGGGATAATGAAGGCTTTGTCCCCTTCACCCTTTTATCCATTATAGAAACCGGACTACGGTTTCCAGTCCAACCATTGATCTGTGAATTTCTCAGGCAGACCAGATTATGCCCTACCCAACTGTCCACCAATTCATATCGCATCATTATGGGAATAGCCGCACTGAACCACCAAGCCGGACTAAACCTTGGCCTGGCTGAAATCTTCCACCAATATTCTATCGGCTCAAAAGAAGATGGGTGGGTTTATTATCTTAGAATGCGTCGCCGCCGAGAGAAGATAATTAAATATACACCGGACAAAGATTTAAACGACGATGATTTTTTCTGGGTCTCTGGGAACTTTGAGGATTTTCAAGCCCAAATTCCTGCCCGACCTATAAATTGGAAGAAAGGAGAGCCCGGTAATTTAACTTCGGTTATCTTTCTTGCATATATATATATATTTTTTTATTTCGGTTTGTTAGTCTATCAACCGAACTAACAGTTCTTCTTTCACAGATTCCGCCCACCTCCATTCCTTATACAGCTATCCCAACCTTGCGATTTTGCGAGCTGCACTACGGCTTAAAGAAAGGAGTTGGGCTAAGCTTCTAAACTTTAAGCCGACCTACCAGTACAGCGGTCGCCGAAAAGCAAGAGTAACTGACTTTCTTCTCGAAGACGCCCCAGAGCCGGACCCAAACTTGCCGCAAATAAGATTAATTCCATTAACAGCTGAAGAGGAAATGGCCAAGAAGAACAGACTAAGGGCACTTCTGACCGAGACAAGCCGGCCCGAAGTACCGTTACCAAGCCAAACGCAGCCTGCCGTTGTGGCCCTCCCCTCTCAACAGCCGTCTTCATCGCGCCGAACCAAGCGCGCTCGAACCACCGCCGCCGAACCAAGTTTGGTTGACGAAGATGAGACTGCTGTTCCACCGATCCTGCCACCGAGCCCCCAACCGCAGCCTGCCGACCGAACTATCACCAGCTGGGCACCAAAGCTTAGCTTCAACGACCGAGATATCCTAGATGCTGATTCGGTTGTTGCTGAAAAAGATCACCAGCTGGCCTTTAGTCTGGCCAAGAGTGTGTGCCTCCCCAAGGATATGGAGCACCACCAGAAGCAGTTAAACACCGAACTAAAGTCCATCCGGTCTGCCACAAAGTCCATGATCCTGGTATGTAGCTCTGTCCATTTTTCTGTCTAGTTTTTTAAACTTTTACTTCGGCTCATGGGAAG